TGTTATCTCGAATAAAAAAGATGGTTGTTATATGTGTATGACAACAAATAAGTGATGGGAAGGAGAGAGCAGTGGTGAGTGAATATATTTCTGACACAAAATGATTATACAGTGAAGTCCTTCAGGAATCAGTAGAGGATCCTTGCTTTTCTTATATGTAAATGACTTGAATTTGGATATTGGATGTACTCATAGAATCCCTACAGTGTGGAAACAGGCCCTTTGGCCCAACAAGTCAACACTGACCCTCAGAGCACCCACCCAAACCCTTTCACCTATAACCCACCAAATCTACACATCCCTGAACACTACGGGCAATTTAGCATGGCCAATCTACCTAGCCTGCACAACTTTGGACTGTGGGAGGAAAATGGAGCACCCGGAGGAAACCTACGCAGACACGTGGAGAATGTGCAAACTCCACACAGACAGTCGCCCGAGGCTGGAATCGAACCCGGGTCCCTGGTGCTGTGAGGCAGCAGTGCTAACCACTGTGCCACCGTGCTGCCCCGTACTGTTTCAAAGTATATGATAAAATATTTTGGCAACATAGTAAATAGTGACAAATATAGTAACAGACTTCAGAAGGACATAAACTGGTGAAATTGGCAAATACATGATAGGTATGAGGGATGCACTTTAACGGAGCCAACATGAAGCAGTAGTATAACCTAAATAATACTATTTTGTAAGATTCAGTTTGGCTAGATAGCACTGGATTTTAGATGCTATGAGTACAATTAGTGATCCAAAATCAGGCCTGTGTCATGTACTCTTTCTTCTGACTGGAAATATACCAATGTCACCTGTGCATGGGGTTAACACCAGCTGGAAGCATCCACAGCAAGCATACCATGTCATTACTGATTTAACAGCCATGCCTCCATTCTAAGGCTTCCTGCCGTGATCCATGGTCTTTTTTAACCCCACAAAGCAAAAAATGCATTATGCAGCATGAGGAAGCTCACCTCATTCTCACCCCTGGGCTATGCAAGGAAATTGTCAACTGCTTAGCAAATAGTTTCTAGTTGATTTCTCAAACTGTTGCTAAATTCCTAAATGATTTTGGGCTTTCAATAGAGGTTTAAATTTCAAAGGAATACTTTTTGCTAGCTTTAGGCTTCTGCACAAATCACTTGCTCTCAGCAATAGGACCCATTAGTGTGCTGTCCTCCTCCATCAAGATTGACTGGGAGAGGTCACACAGTGAAGGACAAACTACTAAAAGAGGGAGGAGAAGAAGTAGAATAGCTGTTCACAAGATGCCATTTCTAACCAAGAAATTTAGGGGTCAATACTTCATTCCTGAAACTCCACTCAGAAAAAAATATCTCAAATGTTGGCTGTCATTAAGGGACTTACCACTGAAATCTCTCAACTACTAGAGTCAAAATTTCATTCACAAAGTAAGACAAGAACAGCATTGTCAGTACTGTGAAGGTGACTGTAGCAGCTAAGCATTTTGATATACACGCCCATCAGCCTTCTCCTTTTGTTGTTCAATGAAAGTTTGCTGAGTTGTCCCCACCAGAACGTTTGTGAGCCATCACTCTCTGGCAAATATCCTTGTCCCACTGCCTCAGCATATGCAGATACCACCTCTGTGCTACTTTCCAAGTTGTCTATAATGACAGTGTTAACTAGAAATAGCAAATTGAAATTTGCATGTTCTTCATCACTCCACTCCTTGCTATTCTTCCACTGCCTAAACAGGTTGTACTTCTTGGTTATATAAAAAGAAAAAGATACAAGAATAAGGTTATGATGAGAAGCAGGGAGAAAGAGGTGTATGCTTATACTACCCGCAACTTTCTTTGGGATGTGAGAAAGAAAGGTTTGAGGAGTCTATCATCTCAAGTGGTTCCTGCTCCATTGCTAGCCATGGCCTCAGAAATGGATAAGAAATGATAATGGTGTCTTTTGATGATGATATCTTTTGATGATGATCATCACTGAGTCCTTCACGTTAGTTAGAACATGCAGATAACTCTGGTTGATTTATGCTATAATACAGTTTCATTATTGTCTGTAAACTTTAACTACAGTTCTACTTTCTAATGTTATGAATTTTGGACCATCAAAATTTTCCAGTTGTAAATGTTTGTACACAACTTGTTTTCACTGTCCATCAGATTAAAAGCTCAAAGGATTTCTTTTTATCTTTGTCTCAGTGCCTGGTCACCCATGCAAAGTCGATAATGGAGGTTGCAGCAACTTATGTTTGCTGTCGCCTGGAGGAAAATACAAATGTGCCTGCCCCACAAACTTCTACCTTGCTGCTGATGGCAGGACTTGTCTTTCCAACTGTACCGCAAGCCAGGTATTGTCTTTAAACATATATGTAAATACATTAAATTCACTGTGCAATTAGTTTATCTTCTGTAACGACCCTGTAAGTTGCTTTAAAAATCCTGCACACAGAAAGTGTACTTAGTAACAGAACAGTGTCATTGACTATGTTTAAACATTTTGAGATGGATTTTTTGAGGAGTGTCTGATTGCCGCCCTGCACGTACGTTTTTTTGTAATATAGTAAGGAAGACCTCTGCATTTCTAGCAGGAGAATTTGATCATGGGTCCTGTACAAATGCAGAGCGTACTTTAAATGTGCCCTTGCAGTGCAGGTTAGTTGTAGGGAGGTAAACCACGCCCAATCTTTCACTGTAGTAGTTGCAGTATTCTGTGGTTTATAGGCCCAGCAGCACAGACAGCTATCTTCACAGCTCCTGTGAAAGGGTAAGTGTGTAAGGTAAATGTGAGGTTAACTCTTCAACTGAGTCCAAATTCAATGCATGAAAGTTGAACACCACACTGACTTTTACCATCAACAGTAATGGACAATTGTTTCATATTGTGCTGAAGTTGATTGTGGAACATTGTTATGATTTCCATGCTAAAATTTCTTTGGAAGAAAAATTACTGAGAGGTTGTTTCCCCTTCTGAGAGAGTCTAGGATTAGTGGGCATAATCTCAAAGTCAGGGGTCTTCCATTTGAAACAAATGGGAAATAATTTCTTTTCTCAGAGGATAGTGAATCTGGGGAATTCCTTATCATAGAGAGCTGTAGGGGTTATGTCATTAAGTATATTCAAGGCTGAGGTAGATATTTTAATTATTAAGAAATCAAAGGTTATGAGAATAAGGCAGGAACATGGACTTTGGGATAATCAGTTCAGCCATGATCTCATTGATTGATGAAGCAGACTCAATGAGCCAAATGGCCTCCTTCAGCTCTTACATCTTACGGTGTTCAGTTCTTTTTGCGACTCCTCAGATAATTAGTCAGTCTGTGTATGAACTAAGACATGCGTAGCATTTAGGTTTGGGCTGACAAGCAGAAGTAACATTGCATCACATATATGTTAAACTGACAATCTCAAATAGAGAGAATCTAAATATTTCCCCTGAATTGCCCTTTATCAACATCCTGAGTATCACCATTGACCAGAAAATTAACTGCGCCAATCACATAAATACATAAATAATGTAACTACAAGAGCAGTAAGAGATTGGGAATTCCATGCAATGCATTTCACCTCCTGACTCCCCATAGCTTGTCTAGCATCTACAAGATGCTACTGGGAGTGTGATAAAATAGTCTTCACTTAGTTAGATAAGAAGTGTTTTAGTAACACTCAAGAAACTAAACAACATTCCTTGACAAAGTAGTCTGTTGATTGGCATCCCAGCCACCACTGTAGATATTTTGTTATTGTAGCTTAGTGTGTACCATTTACAGGATGCATTTTCTGCTCCTATGTCTTAAGGTCTTAACTCACCAAGGGTCCATTGAGAATTCCTTCTAAAACTGCTATTTCTAGTACCAAAAAGAACAAGGGGAGCAGGTGCATGAGAACTTCACCAACTGAAAGTTCCACCAGGTGGTGTGGTCAAATTTGACCTTATTTCTCCAGAATGTCAGTCCAAGTTTCTGGATTACTAGTTTCAATAGTAATACCACTATGCACAGTCCCCTCTAATCTATCACCACTTGTTCACTGTCACTGTATCAAAATCCTGGGTGAGACAGTGGCACAGTGGTTAGTACTGCTGCCTCACAGTGCTCTGGGACCGGGGTTCAATTCCATGCATGACAATCTGTATGGAGTTTGCACAATCGCCTTATGTCCACGTGAGTTCATGTTGGGTGCTTCGGTTTCCTCCCACGGTCCAAAGATGTGCAAGTTAGTTGGATCGGCTGTGCTAAACTGCCCCATAGTGCTCAGGGATGTGCAGGCTAGGGGGATTAGCCAACATAACCCAGAGGGTTACAGCATAGGGTGGGGGGTGGGTCTGTATGGGATGTTCTTCAGAGGCTCAGTGCAGATTCTCTGTGCCAAATGGCCTCTATCGTAAGGCTACTGTGATCCTGGATCAACCTTCTGTACAACAGCACTCGCACAACATGGATGGCAATAGTTCAAGAATGGGATTACAACTTTTTCCAAAAGTAATTAGAGATGGAAAATAAATGCTGGTCTTATCAATGCCACTCACATTTCATGTATGTTTTTATTTAAGAGAGTCAAATCTCAACTATTATTATTAGTTAGCTTCATCTAGAATGGGAGGCATTGTTTGTGATCAAATGTGGGGCTAAATTTGTACGTGATCTGATATCACAGATAGTTTTTTTTTCTTTCTCTTGCTGGTGTACTTGTCAAGTCCAGTGGTACTGAAGCAATTAAACTTGGAAGTGATTTAAGTATTTGGGCAACAGAGAGATACCAACAGTTATTGCACAGCAGCTTGATCTTCAAATTGCAGATATGTCCTAACTCGAATCCTCTTCCATTGCTTTCACATAAAGATCAGAACATTCCAGGATCATTTCTTAGGCTGCACTAAATATTTTATGAACATAATCTTTCAGCAGGAGAGCTAATAGGACATTCCAATTAGTTTCAGAATCTTCAGTTGGGGAAAGGAAAAATCAATCAATATTGTTATTCTTTGCTAGACACTGGCTGAGAACATAATTGGAAAAGTGCTGCAATGTTCTCAATTATTAGTTAGCCTTTCACTTTTTGCTATCGAGTTTCACAGATGAAGAATATACAGTAGGCTGATAAGGCATTGCATTAAACACTCAAAAAGCCAGGGGCAGTATGAGTCACTATTTTTGCATCGAGTGAAAAATAAGTAAGGTAAATAAATGAATGATTTAATTATTACCCCAAGAGCTCTGCACCTTGCTGAGAAAGGCCTTGCAATTATTATGAATAACGCACAAGGCAACTTTCCAGCTTATTACATCCACCAATTTAGTAAATTTGAGTGAGAACAAGCATTATTTGGCCAAAGAATATCACTAAGATAACACCTTTCAATTTCTGTGCCAAATTGCTGCTTATGTTATGCAATATATGACTATGAATGTACGTTTCATATTAGGCTTAATTATCTTAATTGTATTGTAAGTACATGATACTGTCTCAACAGTTTGTCTGCAGCAACGACAAATGTATTCCATTCTGGTGGAAATGTGACACAGAAGATGACTGTGGAGATGGATCAGACGAACCTGAATACTGCCGTGAGTATTTTTGATCAGTTTGACATAAATATCTGTATTTAATAATATCTGTCATTCCATCTTTAACATATTTGGGGAGTTTCAAAACAAGATATTTGCTAGTACAAGATAAATGCCCTGTTTGCAATGGTACTGCATCATCCTGCTCCTTACATGCAGTCATTACTTTCTTTGGTGCCAACAATGGTGTGAAAGTATCCGTATGATGACAAAATCATTAACAAAACAGATGGCAGAAGTTGTAAATGAGAATATGTCATTCCTTTCATGAACCATCTAAGACAGCATGGAAATAATTCGAAAGATAACAGAAATCTGTTACAACTGTTTTGCATTTTTGCCTTAACTTTTCAATAAATACAGTGATTGTTCCAAATGTCCTAAAATTCTTTCTTTCTATAAGCAACATTTCCTTGACTTCTCAGCTGAATTTAAATGCAGACCAGGTCAGTTTCAGTGTGGCACAGGAATATGCACTAAACCTGCCTTCATCTGTGATGGTGAGAATGACTGTGGAGATAATTCAGATGAGGCAAACTGTGGTAAGTATTGCATTAAAATTGCTTAACTTTATACTGAGAAAATATTTAGATGCCATTTGTATGAGTTCAGTTTTGAACATTGAGCTCAATGTGTTTATTCATAATTCTTTAGAGACACATGTTTGCCTTCCAAGTCAGTTTAAGTGTTCACAGAAGAAACGGTGCATTCCAATCATCTTCAGATGTAATGGTCAAGACAACTGCGGTGATGGAGAAGACGAAAGTGATTGCCGTGAGTTTTAACATTCATCTTTTGAAGCTAATGTAGTTTGCATATGAATGTATCCTAGTCAGTGGGCTCCCAGTGAATCAGTTATAAAAAGCCATTTAGTGTGGTACTAAGTAATGTTATGAGTGACGTCCTAAGTTCAGTTCTTGTTCCTCCTGACAGTTGGCATTTTTGTCAAAATGAGACTGCTTCACTGGATTCAGTGGCTCTGGTTTTCTAGTTCTGCTCATTCTAATCCATACTTTTTCCAAACATACACTTAAATTTTCTGAAAACCACAAAGACAAAAGCACAAAACCCTAGCCTGTAACTCTGAGTTGCAAAAAGGTTTCATGACCCAATATTTTCACACTTGATGTGGTTAGAAAGTATTAATACCAGCAGAGTATAACATTAGACTTGGCTGGGAGATCTTCCTCCATTGATATTCTGTCAACACGTTCCCTGGGCTTGTAGAAAGAATGGCTATTTGGAGGGGATACGTATTGCCTATGCTGCCAGCTGTCAGTGTATGGGTTCTTAAGGGACTTTAGCCACCTTCTGATCTAACACAAAAAATCTTGAAAAACAAAATATAGCTTATTGCATCTCTGCAACTATGTGCAGATTTTAATGGACTCCGGGCAATGCAATAATCCCGTTGAAATTGTTGGATAAAAGGGAAAGTAGCGGCAAGATAGAGAACTCAAGATACAAAATAGAGAAAAAACGAGTTTTATAAAATGGTCTACAAAGACAAAAGTGGTTGCAGAGAATGTTTAATGCTTCTAGGAATAGCAAATTTAAACTGAAATTACCCAGGCCTATCTAAAGTTTATAGTTTTCTATTTTAACCACGTCAGGTGGTACAAATCTACATGAGGTGAAAATTAATGACTGGTCTGAAGAAACATTGAGCTTGGGAACATGAAGTAAACAGTTTCTTTCCATGGGATCTTCATTGCCAGCACTATGGGAGTATCTTCAACATTCAGACTGCTGGAAAATAGGAATATTAAAAGATTGAAATTGTTAGATGTTTGTTTTCCTTTTGCCAGCACAAACCTGTTGAGTCGGAGGGCCCTTTTCCATCCTGTAGACCTCTATGACTCTAGAGTTTGTTGGGAGGACATTGTTTTAGGTCTGTCTCCCATCAAGTGTTCATGACATTATCATGGTGGGTGGTACTTATTGCAGTCAAACAAATATTAACTGTTTCAGACTCATAAGCAGCGTCAACCCCAAGCTTTATTCTGGTAATTATCATTTCTATTTGTTTATATAGTTATATTTGCCACAACCCATCTCTCTCAAAATCTTTGATTTTAGAAATTTAGATTATCTGGAGATTTAACTGTCTTTCCTGAATATGTTCTCTTTGGATTTGGAAGAAAGGTAGTTATTGGGTAGAATATAATTGCCTTGGATAATTGTCTAAACAACCTAATGTCCGAGGTTCTCCTCTGTTGTCAGGTTTACCATTTGGTTCATTCCAATCAATAATCTGAGGATGGCTCAATCATAACAGGATAAAGGTTGAAGTTCCTGTTATTCCTTTGTGCAACCTTTTTAACAGTATAAATTGGCATCTTTTTGGACAATTGTACCTTTTCTGTTTAAATACCTGATCACCATCAGGTGCCCTGTTCCCTAACTCATGCAGTACTGTTTATTATAATGTTCTGGCTGATGAAAATGATAGGATCATTCTCCAAACAAAGAAACATTAACAGAAAATAGGAGTTAGCCATTCAGCAGTCCCAGCCTGCTCTGCCATTCAATATGATCATGGCTGATTATCCAACTCAGTACCCCAACTCCTGCTTTCTCCACACACCCTTTCATCACTTTATCTCCAAGATCTAGATCTAACTCCTTCTTGCAAACATTCAATGTTCTGGCCTCACCTGCTTTCTGTGGCAAAGATTTCCATAGGTTCACCACTCTCTAGGTAAAGAAATTTCTCCTCATTTCAGAACTAAATGGCCTATCCCATTTCCTTAGACTGTGACACCCTGTTCTGGACTCCCCAGCCATTGGGAACGTCCCATCTGAATTTACTCTGCTGAGCCATAGAGTTATTGAGCATGGAAACAGGGCCTTCAATCCAACTCGTCCTTGCTGACCAGCCATCGTAAACCTATCTAGTCCCATTTGCCAGCATTTGGCCCATATCTCTCTAAATCCTTCCTATTGGTGTACCCATCTTGATGCCTTTTAAATGTTGTAATTGTACCTGCCTCTACTATTTCCTCTGGCAGCTTGTTCAATACATGCACCACCCTCTGCATGAAAAGGTTGTCCCTCAAATCCTTTCTAAATCTTGCCCCTCTCACCTTAAGCATATGCACTTTAGTTTTGGACTCCCCTTCCCTGGGAAAAAGACCTTGGCTATTCACTCTTTCCATGCCCCTCCTGATCTTATAAACCTCTATAAGGTCACTCCTCAGCCTCTAACACTCCAGGGAAAAAAACCCTAGTCTTTTCAGTCTCTCCCTGTAGCTGAAATCCTCCAATTCCATTAACATCCTTGCAAATCTTTTCTGAACCCTTTCGAGTTTAACAACATCTTTCCTATAGCAGGGAGACCAGGATTGAATGCAGTATTCCAAAAGTGGCCTAACCAATGTCCTGAACATCCCAACTCCTATATCCAATGCACTGACCAGTGAAGGCAAGCTGTTAGGATTTTAGACATTTCTAGGTTTTTAGGTTTCTTTATCATTTATTGCTTGGTAATGATGGCATAAGTGTAGAGCCAATTTCTTAGGCACAATTGGGAACTGAGTCTCTGCGTTCTGTACATCAGTAACTCAGATTATGCAAGATCACGTTGAAGTAAGGTAGACAAATAAGTCACATTCCTGTGTAGAAGTAAGATTTCTTCAAGAGCAACTTAACTGTTCTCATCCCACTTTTTGCCTCGCTGTTAAATTATGGGCATTGCAGTGAGTTTCCAACATGTTCAAATCCAAAACTGACGATTTCTACTCCTTGACCCATCAGGTGAAATACTAAATGAGGATAATCTAAGACTTTACATGAAATATAAACAAAACTACCCCAAAGTCTGTTTGGAATATTCCCAAATATTCCCAAGGTCTGTTTGGAAACTTGATAGATATAAAGAGTTCTATTTGTTCTGGCCTGTGGATATCACATGCCTCACTATCTGCAATGAGTTCTTCAATGTCTGTGGAGATCCTGGGCCACTTGGTGACAGCCAAATGCTTTTGGTGCAGCTTTGCCAAGAAATGCTCTCAAAGTGAATTTGGCGTGACCCATCATTTATCATATGTCAGTAAGTCATCAACAATGGTAAATACAGTTTCATGACTATGTTGTGGGCCTTTAACATGGCTAAACTATCAGTGCAACATTGGAAAATGTTGAGACATTATTGATCTATTTTGTTCTCATTGAATCTAATTGATTCAGTTGTGACTTGCTGGCCCTGTGCTGCTGTGGACCAAGTGTATTCTTACATTTCTTTGAATGAAATCACATCATAATTGGTCGAGTTGTTGCCTATCACTCTAGAGGGCACATCTGCCATCATCTGTCGTTTATAGTGCACATAGACTGTCATGTAAGCAAATTTCATGAGACAAATTTGGAATCTTTGAATTCTTGGAGACTTTTGTATAAGTTCCTTCTCATTGAATAGAGAAACTTCAAAGTTGGTGATCTGTTTTGATGGCCAGTTTCAGACCGAAGATATAATCTAAATATCTTCAGAGACCAACGTAACTGAAAGAGCCTCTTTCTCAATCACTGCATACCATGTTTTTGTAACACAATGCTTATGATGAGTGATAGATTAGTTTGTGACACCCTTTTGGCTGCTCCTGGAATTCTACTGCTCTTAAATTAGTAGCTAAAGATTTTGATGCTATTATCATTAGAAATTAAGGATTATAATCTGTCTTCTGAAAAGCATTCGCATAATGAGTATTCAAATCCCAGCCTTGTGATTTGTCTCAAGTGTTCTGTAATGATAGCCTGATTAGGCAAAAGTTTTTCTTCACCTGATTTACCATAAACAAGAACCTTTGAACATCCTCAACTTGACTTTGGAGTGTGGAACTCCGTAATGGTTTTAGCCTTCTGAGGATCAGCCCATATGTCTTCATTGTTGACAATGTGTCCAAACAAAAAAGAATAATTTCTTTGGAGAATTTCATTTGGAATTTGGAGTTTTCATTAAGCATGAGGCCATCTTCTTGTAAATGTTCCTAAACTCCATGCACACTCTATGTACTTTCTCCATTGTCCAATGGAACTGTATGTCATCCATGTGACTTAGCATAAAGTCTTTGATAAATGTTGATCATAGTTAATTGGAAAATCTTTGGGGCAGAGGTGATTGCAAATGCTAATCTACTAAAACAACACCTTCCAAAAAAAGTTGTAAATGTGCTTAAGAAATCTTGAATGCTCATCCAATGGTATTTGGCAGAATCCATTAAAGAGAGGTGATGCCTCATGGTATTTCCACTAGCCTACAAATCCAGAGACCCAGGTAACACATTCTAGTGACATAGAATGGTATCCGCCATGGCAGATAGTGAAATCTAAATTTAATAAAAATTTGGAATTAAGGATCTTATGATAGCAATGAAACCTTTGTCAATTGTCAGGAAAACCTATCTGGTTCACTAATGTCCTTTAGGGAAGGAAATTACCTTTCGTATCTGGTCTGATTTATAATTCACTCCAGAAGCACAGCAATGTGGTTGGCTCTTAACAGTCCACTGGGCAATAAATGCTAGCCTAGCCAGTGATGCCCTCATTCTACAAATTAAAAAAAAAATCCATTATTTGCCTCAAGCTTTGTTTCACTTGGATAGTTTAGCTACACTCTCACCAAATGTATATTTCTCTAACACCTTGGGCTGTTTGATTGAAAACAAATTTGGATTGTATGATCAGGCTTGAAAACAGTAACCCAGCCTTAAATGCTACTCTGTTGGTTTCACAGCTACAGAAATAAGTTACACCCTTGTCATCACTGCAAGGCAGTTCTCAACTTGTTTCATTAAAGGATGTGGCATTTTGATGTGTAAAGGCATATGCATTTAGCACATTCCTTCAGTCTGATGCTGTATTTGGTTTTAAGCTTCTTAACCCTTCAATAAATTGGGATATGTTGCTTAATCTCTCCCAAATTTTAATGAGATGTAGGTTAATAAATACTTCTTTACTTTGGACTGAAATTTCATGGTTGTGAAGTAATTACAGGATTTCTAATACTTGGTATCACCCATGTTTGAGAATTACTTTAGCATATATTTAACAGTACGTTTGTAACCCTGGACCATGTAGTTGAACTTCTTTTGGATTTAAAGTGTTTTGTCAACCATGACTTACTTTCCAATATTATTGTGACTTTTTTTTTCTGATGTATTACTTGAAATTTGTGAGATGCTTATTGAAATATGTCATCTTGTCAAAATTTTGGCCGAGGTCACTAACTTTCCTAGGGAAGCTTTTGGCTTGTCTTTTACTGGAAAGTGTTCTGCCTTATTTATCTCTTTGTGTGGGTAGTTCTTTGGCCATTTGGTATTATACAGTAGTTTGTGCTTCAGCATACATTCTGAAAGTGAGTTACTTTTTAACAAGATATTCTGTTTTAGTAACTGGGCATTTTTTATGCCTGTGAAGCTTCTTTACTCTGCAGCATTGGCAAGAACTTTAAGTGACTTGTTTGTGTCATATCCACTGCATCAACTTATTGCATGCCCCTTATTTTTCCATACCCCAACAATTGAATAAGTTCTGAAAATATCCTATGCAGTTTGATCTTCTCCCGTTAGGATTGATCTCTCTGCTTCTGTACTTTTGCCACACTCCCTATGTGACTGACTTTTCTTTAGAATTAGATCTTCTTTGGACTGTTATAAATTTGACAAAGACTTAGCAGTAATCAATTTGATCTATTATGAAACTTGACTTTAAGTTGCCGTAGTCATATCTCTCCACTAGTCGGAAGAGATCATTATCTATGGATTCTCCGGATGTGGTATTCTTCTGTTGAATGTTGTTCTTCCAGGAATTTTATTATTTCTGAGGTTCAAAGAGTTGTCAAACACTTTCAGTACCTTTTCAATGTACCTTTTGTATTTTTAACAAAGAACCTCTTGGTAAAGTAATAACATTACCTGCTGTAATCTCTATTGTGCGCATAAGTGTTCAGTTTCTGACATAGAATAGCTTTTAAATTCAACATTATACCCAAAGAGTTGTTTTCTCCAGGATTACCAAACTTGTGTTTTATTTGGCCCATTTTCAATTTAAATCTTCCTAGCAATGTTATTTATTTTTATAATTCTAACATGATTACATATTTTAGCTTCTTTAAAGATTATTAGTTTGCAGGAATGGCTGTTCTCTCGTATTTGCTGCTGTTATGGAGGGCTTTCCCACTCTCTGCAGTTTTAATGGAGGATTCCCACCCTTTTTTAGTTGTAATAGACACTCCTGAAAATTTTCCATGCTAGATCAGGATCTGCCACTTCTTTATATTGCCCAATGCTTATAGGCTCTATATGTTAGACTCCCCAATTTCCTCGGCCGTCCCTTCCTCAATTAAGTGAGATTCTCCCTTTGCCGGGGTAGTTTTGTTTCTTTCTAGCTTTGCCTCTTCCTACACATATGCCATGGCAGCAATGTCTGATCTGAGTTTCAACTGATCTTTTTCTAACATTTGTCCTTTATGCCAGGGATTTTTAGTTTTGATTCATGCTGTCTGCAATATCTGTTCTCTCCCTGGCTGAATTGGGAGTTGGGACAATTCCCACAGGCTTGTGATGGAGCCTGTACCTATATTTTTGAACTACAAGATTCTTCTCTTCCAGTGGATCTCCTAGCAGAGATAAAATGTTTGTGTCATCTTTGAATTATTTTGCAGAAGCGAGTGTTCCACAAGATTTTTCTCAAATGTTTGCTTCCCTCAGTCAACAATATCTGTTCTCATTGAAGCCTTCTACATAACTAGCATATTCCCCTTTTGGGACTGCTGTTTACACATTGCATCTTTCGATCCCATGCTGACCACCATGTTGAGTGTGCTGCCACCTCTGTCTTTTGTGTGTTTTTTTTTTAAATAAAAAGTACACAGTAGTCAAGTAAAAACTGAAAGAACTGCGGATGCTGAAAATCAGGAACAAAAACAGAAGTTGCTGGTAAAGCTCAGCAGATCTGGCAGCATCTGTGAAGAAGAAGTCAGAGTTAACATTTCGGGTCCGGTGATCCTTCCTCAGAAGTTTCTGAGGAAGGGTCACTGGACCCAAAACGTTAAATCTGATTTTTTCTTCACAGAAGTTGCCAGACCCACAGTAGTCAAGTGTTGTATGAGGGTTCTCCTAGTCTAATGAGAGGAGTCTCAGAATAAACATGATGCAGTTTAAGAATACACTCTACATTACTACAAAAACTATTAGGATGACCTTACCGTGAGGAATGTAGAGTTGAGGTTATCATCGGACCAGCCATGATTTTAATGAATAGAGGTGCAAACTCAAAGGGATGCGTGGCCTATTCTTGTTCTCAAGAAATTCCACTTTCTGTCACATGCTATCATCACACTGGGGGAAAAAGAAGTGCCAACCCATCAAATATTACCACTTTCAGAATTACTGAATTAACAAAAAAATGGTGAAATAGTATCTCAATATACTTGCCACTTTCTACGGAAGAAATAGAAGGAAGATTACTATTTCAGTAGAATTACTCCTTGGTGAATTCTTGTGTGGCATAATGGTTTTGGCAATTTATTTTTTAGCAGCAATTCGCAGTAAAAGAAATCTGCTAGCTTCCCAAGATCAGGGCAGCTCCCAACATTTCTGGAAATTTTAAAAAGGAATTATATATTCTTAATCACATGGATGGATCAATGGATCTCAATGCTGTTTGATGCAATCTTAGCCAAAGTTCATAGTTTGAAAGAAAAAAAATGCATTTATTTAACAAAAAAATGTTTAATTCATCCATATTATCTGCTGACAACGCATTTAATCATTCATAACTAGATTGCTACTTTTTTTATTCGCTTATAGTAATAGCATTATGCAAAGGATTAATTCAATTTTCTGCACAATTTTACAGTTATTACATGTAGTGAGATTGATAAATGTTAATTGATAGCTTATCCATTAAAGTGCAACAGAAATTACTTGTCAGATAAAGTATGAATCTGCACAAATAAAATTACAGAAATTTTAATACACTTCATGAAGGTTTTTACTTTACAGATTATGGAAGTGAAAATTCGTTTAATGATTTTAAGATCTAAAATCAGGATAATAGCTGTGCTGCAAGTTATTCAGCTATGCGTCGTTCAAAAAAAAGCAGAAGAATATGGTTTCTTCAGTTCAGTTAACACCTTAATGTGTGATCTAATTTAGTACATCAAAATTTTGCACATACAAGCATAAAATAGAAACCACGAAAGAAACTAATCAGTTGAATGTGTCAGTTGAGATGGTGAAAAAATGGTTCAAAATGCAAAACTAATTTGGACAATTTGTATGTATATTGGTGAACTTAATTTGAACATCATTATTCAGAACTGCAAGACTGCAATTTAGATAGGGATTTTGTTAACTATTATTTAAACATTTCCAAAGTTGTAGGTAGTTTAAGTACAAAGCTAAGGCATTTCAAAAGGGTGAAAATTTGAATAAAAAATATGTTCAGGAGTCAAGTATAAATTGAATATTGCCTTGGTGGAAGTTTTGACATTTAATGTCGCTCGTAACATCTGACAGATTATTTTAAAACTTTGTCCTTAGCTGAAGTTACCTGTTCTCCAAACCAGTTCCAGTGTGCTGTAACCAAACGTTGCATTCCTGAAGAATGGGTCTGTGACAAGGACCATGATTGTGCAGATGGCTCTGATGAATCAAATTGCAGTAAGTTATTAAAAGTGGATGAAAAAAACAAGTAGAAGATTATGACTAGAAAGTCTTTGTATTTCTAAATATGTGCCTAATAAATGAGAATCTGTTTAGTTGTAAAAGATTTGAGGATATTCGTAATGTTAAAATAGCTGTATATTTTGATAGTGATTAATACTCAAAGACACTAGTTTTTGTGCAATAATTTCTTAAGATTTTCTTGAAAGCTGCAATGATATTTTTACTATTTAGACTATGTCCCAAAATTTGTATGCATGACAAAATGGCAGGCTCAATTTCCTACAAACCTTGAGTGAAATTTGCAGAAAAATAGTCCATTTACCAATATTATCTGTTGTTGCTCTGGGAAAAAAAAAACTGCAATGTCTTGTTAAAGATAGTTAGGACGAAAGCATTAACTGACATTGCAAGATGAGTCAGCCCATCAGGAAATAAAGGACTGCTCCTAGGAAGAGCTAACCGGTTACTTGTTTCTGTCTGAATCAGTTTTGCTTCAAGTTTTGTGCTTGTTGCTAGTACTGTGAGAGAATGTTTTACCAGTTATAATGTGAGCTTAACTCTTACTTTAGCTTAATGTCCCAAATTAAATTATCTTGTATCTTACATGTAGTGTATATAGCCATTAACTAATACGTAATAAACATATATTTACTGTTCATCAAATTTGAACCTTGCTTCTACCCAAGATGTTGAATGAGCATCTTGCCCCATGCGGTATCAGTAACTTAGACTTGGTCGCAAATCTGATGAAGGCATTCCAGGTCATGTCTGACATTATAAAATAAAAGAATTTAATCATTTTCACTCCTTCTTTGACTCTGGACCTTTGTACAAAATATGCTAGCAAACCGCTTCTACCCCTTTGCTATAAAAGCATTTCTCTTTACACTCATTCCTTCCCTTGACAGAGTGAAAATATCCATCCATCTAACTCACAGAGGAAGCACTCAAGCTAACTAACAAGAATCCTCTCTCACAAAGACAATTTGTAGTTATGAAATGTGTTGGACCCCAAATTAGAAATAGCTGATTCAGTTATTTCATATGCTAGAGCAATTTTTTAAAGAGTACTTCTATATACATTTGCCCTTTGCAATATTTTCCCCTTTGTATTTTTTCCCCTGAGCAGCAGTATTTGATTATTAGACACAGGGTTACTTTGCAAATAGGCTATTTTGAAACAATGTTATGCTTCATGTTCAATAAAAAGAAAAACGCAAGCATAGTACTCATGCATAGGTTATTTATAATCACATGCACAGTATTTTTCTAAACAGTTTGCTGTGTAACACATTTCTAAACTTATGTGCAGTTTACTGTATAGAGGGTGGCTATATTAATAATAGTGGTTAATTCTTGTAATATGATTAATAAACTATTATGTTTTAAGGAACATGAAGTAGAAATCAAAAAGTGAGAACTAATACAATGGAAGTAAAGTGTGGAAAATTAAGTTGAATGCATCATTATAATCATGTACAAATAAGGAAACATATTAGCATCAATGAAGACTGCAGGATATAGTTGTGATTGCAATTTGGGGAATTGAATTCTAAGAGATTTCAAAATTTGAAAAGTGTTATTTGACCAAGTTTAAATGCAATTACATGTATTTTATTGATTACCATAAATTTAACTATGCTCCATTTCAAAAATAGAGGTTGTTTGAGGGACAGTAAACAGCAAGACATTTCCTGAGATTATGAACAATGAAAAAGTAGTAAGAGTTGAAATCAAACCCATATATGCCAGGGGAAAGGGATCATTGAAGTACAAGGGGGAAGACACGTTATTCAACTAGACTCATGTTAAATATTACATTTTTCCACGAGCTGGTGTATGTACGTTTATACCATTATGTGATCACAAGATAACTACTAATGAGTTATGATATTTGTGTGGAATTCTCACTCATGCAAAATAAATTGCTATTCACTGATCTTCAGAAATAAAGAACATACATTTCCCATCATGTTATCGAACTGGAATGAATTTTGAGATGTGCGCTTCTAATGCTATGCACAGAAAATAAAGTTTTCATCATTTTTTAGTGGGATAATGTTCTTGAGGACAACAAATCTAAAATAGTGTTCTTGTCAGCTTTGACTCAATCACTTTTTAAATAAATAAAACAGCATAAGTAGCCCAGATATAGTGTTGCTCATCGGCTCTCTCTTTATATCAGTCACCATCTTTCAGGACAAGATTTTTAAATAGGAAGCATATATCTTCACTTGTGCAAAAGAGAAGGTAAAATGCATCAATTTGCTTTTCGTGTTTTTAGTTCTGAAGCCATTTAAAATCTTGGCATTTACAAGAAAAGCATGAAAAGGAAGAGAAATGAGTGGTAAGGGGAAATAACTGTCTGAACACTGGTGCAATGATCATTGACAGAGAAACTTCAAACTTTATCTGTTCTTGTTATGTGTGACGTAATATAGATCTTAAATATTAACTGTTGAAAAGAAGCCATATATTTGATTTATATAACAGTCATTTTGAACTGTGGGTTATAGACACACTATTTCTGTTTTCCTATTTTTGATTGACTTTAGCTCAAATTGCATGTGGCACAGATGATTTCCACTGTAAAGGCACAAGCAGATGTGTTCCTGCACGTTGGAAATGTGATGGAGAGGATGACTGTGGAGATGGTTCTGATGAGCCAAAAGAAGAATGTGGTACGTTTTGTTTCTGAAATCTATTGGAATAGTGGAAGTTAAAATTTCTGATATCAATTACTCATTAAGCAATGTTTTCAAAATAGGTGAAAATGTTAAATGTTCAATATTAACCTATAAAAGTTATGATTTTTGGGAAAATCTTAATTCTTCTCATTCCTCCTTCTATCTTGCAAAGAAAACAAGTCTTCAAACTTTAAGGCTCTGAAGAAAGCTTGATATATGTATGTTCTAATGAGGAATTCTCTTCAAATCCAAACGTATTGATCATTATTTTAAAGAGTATTATTTGGTGGGAAAACAATTATTTCTAGCAGAATCTTGATTTTTGACAGCGAGTGTAGAAACAGGCCTAAAAGCCTAAGTTAATTGCACTGGTATGGCTGGAGGTAAAGAGAGGGATCAGACAGGCTTTCCTGCCTATTTACATTTTTCTCAGTTTGTTGGATATGCAACATCACGTTTTATGAGCAAACAGGGAGAATGTTTTTTGTTCCACTGCTGGGACCTCTGGTTTTGAACTATGGCAATATGGCACATCACTCCTGGCAATCTGAAGACATCACTCAACCTCTGTTCATCACCCCATCCCATGCTTGGAGGCTAATAGAGACCAGTCAAAAAGCTGAGGCACACTTTAGCATGCCACCTTAGGTGTTCTCCTGAAGGCTGTCCAGGAGAGAAAGGAGGTTCTTTTCCTAATGGATGTTGACAGGAGTTAACGTTAATTGATGAAGATGGTCAGGACAGTGGTGGCTGTAGAGGTCAGCGCTTGCAAGCAGCTCAAGAGAACCCATCTCCAATGCTGCAATGGAATGAATAATCAGTTAAATTACACTGCGGTATGTATCACTGTATCAAAGTTTCATGCTCCCATGAGTGGGAGTCATAGTGTAAAATTGTCACTGCAGATGATTTCCACCCAAAGTTGCATGCTGGCCATCTCCAGCTGCCTTATGTGTAATCTGTCCCTTCATTGCAGCTACCAGTGTAGCATTAATTGCACCACAGTGCTGCTACTTCTCACACGCCTGCCAGGGTTCACACTTAGGACATAAAAAGGGACTGCAATGCTCAGTAGCTCTGTGCGCCATCAGCTCATTGACCTTTCTTCATGTTAGGACTGCCCATGATTGAACAACACAAAATGGCCGACAGCTGCCCATGGCATTAGCAGCATAATGTGGCTGACAGTAGGTAGAAAGCTTGGGAAAATATTAGATGTTCTTATCTATGTCTGGGAAAAGTTTAAGGGAGATATGCATGGAAAGTTCTTTACGCAGAGGGTGGTGGGTGCCTGGAACACGTTGTCAGCGGAGGTGGTAGAGGTGGGCACGATAGCGTCATTTAAGATGTATCTAGACAGATACATGAATGGGCAGGGAGCAGAGGGATACAGATCCTTGGAAAATAGGCGACAGGTTTAGATAGAGGATCTGGATCGGCGCAGGCTTGAAGCCGAAGGACCTGTTCGTGTACTGTAATTTTCTTTGTTCTTTGTTCTTTATGTGCTATGCAAAAACAACTGCAGCTGCATATTCTATCTCAGTTCTGTTATCTTGGGTCTACAGAGCTACTGTTGCTCTACTTGTGAAGAATACATCAATCAAATACTTTCCCAAGCTTTCTAACTCTTGTCAACCATGTTCTGCTGCCAACACCATTGGCAGCTGTCGGCTATTTGGTGCTGCTCAACCATGGGCAGCCCTAACATTCACAACAAGAAGATTTTTTTTTAATGTACACATCCAATAGGTTTTTGCCAAAGGCTTGCAAGGAACAATGGCACACAACAAAAGATTGTTTTGGAAATGAAGACCTCAAGCATATTAGGTACACATATCATCAAAAAACTCCTGAAGAAGGATCACTGGACCTAAAACATTAATTCTTTCTCTCCACAGATGCTGCCAGATGTACTGAGCTTTTCCCAGCAATTTCTGATTTTGTTCCAGATATCCAACATCCCCAGTTCTGTTTCTTATTCCATCAAAATGCTTCATCATCTGTAACTCTTTGATCATATTGAACCACTTTTCATTCAGAGCCCATGAACACCCATCATTTCCTGTACCGAATCCTGTTTATGGGCAGTCACAGCTCTGAAGACTGACATCCATCTATCTATCTATCTATCTCTCTATCTATCTATCTATCTATCTCTCTCTCTCTCTCTATTCATCTATCAATCTATCTCTCCGTCTATCTATCTATCTAAATAACTATCATCTATCTATCTATCTAAATAACTATCATCTATCTAACTATCTATCTATCTATCTAAATAACTATCTATCTGTGTAAATAACTATC